TGGGTGTCTATTTAGTTCAACCTTCGGGGAGCAATCAACTTTAATTCCCACGCTAAGCCTCCTTCCAAATTCTAAAAAAATGGGCCAAGCATCCGATACAGTTTTCAGTCCCAATATAACCAGTTGAACGCTTTCAAACTATTTTTCAAGGGGCTTTCATGCCTCCCATTGCAACATGCCATGATGGCGCAGTGGTTAAAATGCAGTATTGCAGACTGCCCCCAGCCTGGAGTTCGATCTGACTGGCTCAAGGTTCACTTAACCTTCCATCCTTCCAAGGTCAGTAAAATGAGGACCCAGATTGTTGGGGGGCAATATGCTAACTGTAAACCGCTTAGAGAGGGCTGTAAAGCACTGTGAAGAGGTATATAAGTCCAAGTGTTGTTGCTATAGCTACTTCCAACCATACTTTAACTGTGCCCCAAAGACCACTGAGGCAGTTTGGGGTTTTCTCTGGAGATTTTAGAAGTCTGGGACTTTTATCTCCTATTTCTTACAAAAAAGCATAAATAAAATCAGTTTTTGTAATTCAGCTTTTCTAGGAGTCTTGCTTTATGCTTCTTCTGCTTGATGCACAATTAAGTGGTATAACTCTTAATTGCATTATAATAGCATTAGCCTGCCACAAGAAGGGGGATCAAAAATTTTTTTTCAGCCTTCAATCATATTTTTAAGAGAAGCAACGCATTTCTCTGTTGAATGTTAACATACAAAGGAGATGGACTGTTTATCGTATCTTGCCTTTATTTTAATTCATTAAAAGTAACACAATTGTCAATTATCCTAGCATGGCACATTCACCTGTACAAATGACTTCACTTGCATTTGCTATTATTGCTTCATTTGCATTTGCTATCCTTGCAATTACCTTTAAAACCATTATTATGATTGTCCATATTGGAAACTAGCTGGACGCCCATGCTTCGCTACAAAACTATGTGCTCAGGCTAGATAAATTGACACTTGCAGCCTAATGTAGAATGTGTAACTCCGTAGCATCAGAGGGTGTTAATATAATGCAACTGGCAGTTGGAACAGAGGGGGAGGGGGGAGTAGAATGTCCCAGCCCGCAGCATCCATTGGCATTCATCTGGCTAGCATCCTATCAGTGTGTGAGAGAGTTGAGGAGTGTTTGGAAACTCAGACAGTATTTGCTGTGTGAGCAAGGAGACAGGAAGGAGGCTGGGCGTGGTTCAGCTCAACTGTTCTGTAGTAAAGCTGCTTGCTGCTGTGAAAGTAAAACTGAAAGTGAAACTCTCTCCTCTGCTTGTGTTTTGCATTTGGAACAGATTTCTTTTCAGGTGGGGAGGGGGAGTAGAACTCCTTAGCATGAGAGCGTGTTAATAATACAGGAAATACTAATGCTCTGATGGTCATTTTGAAAAATCCTTTCTTAGTGAGCACCTAGAAGCCAAGAGGAACATATGTGGCAAATTTCAAGTTTGTAGGCTTTACAGTTCTGGAGATTTTGTAATTATGGCGTGAGTGGTTTTCGCTTTTATATATATAGATTAAAAATGGTACTTATAAATTAAATTATAAATGTAGCATAATTATTATGAATTGTAAATATAATAAATATTATAGAATCTTTGGGCTAGCCACTCTCCCTCCCCTCAACCCACCTCACAGGGCTGTTGTTGTGAGGAAAAGAGGAGCAGGAAGGAGTATTAGGTATGTTTGCAGCCTAGAGTTACCAATAAAAATAACAATGGAATAAAAATAAATACACAAAGAAATAGTTATATGTAAATTATAATTATTAAACAAAGCTTTGAGAGCCGGATGAATACTGTGAGAGGATGAAGAACTATTACAATGTCTATTATATAAGAGCTTATAAATTCTCTCCACAGTGAAATTCCATGGGAATTGAATGTGTTCAACTTATAGAAGGAATTATCACAACAGGCTTGAGAAGAATGATTAAGTACCTTTCAAAATAGAGAAAGGGAGCTAGAATTCGATTTCTTTTCACCCTGATATAGTTATCCTGTCAAAAGAGATGAAATAGGAACTAAATGGGAGTTTTAAACATGAGCCTTTTCTCACTAAAATCCATAAAGTATTGTGAAGAACAAAATAAACCTTTTAGACTGGGCTTAGGACAATTTTCAGAGGAAACAATATTTAACCAGATGAACTCCTGTTCAATACCTACCTTCTCCAAGCAGCCTGGATATATTCGATTCAAAACAGAACCTGCAGGCCTATTTCAGGGAAGCATTAGAAGGGAAGAGGAATGGACAAGGGCGTTTGCCACATTTTCTCGTCTGGTGCTATCCAAGTGCACCTGATGGACATAGTACAGCAATAAGCCATTATGCGATTCACTTGTTTCTTGCTTAGCGTGAACTGCAAACTCAACCATAAAGGTTCAGCTTTATGGGGGAATAAAACCCTGACTAAACTGGTTTGATTTAATATTATAAGTCAAACAACCAAGATCACTAAGGACCCCACTTAATATTATGTATGAATCCTATCCCAGTACTCCTATGTGGGAATCACCAGTCACTGAAAGTCACTGAGCCTTTTACCTAAGTTCTGTTTTGAAGGCTGTTTTCTCCAAGGGCTGGAATGCTAAATTTCTCTATATTAGGCTGTCTTTCAAATCTGCATTGTCTACTCTGACTGGTGGCGGCTTTCCATTGCCTTGTTACCCTTTCAATTGTTAACCTTTATGGTGGTATTGTACAGAGGTAGTCCTCGACTTACGACCACAATTGAAGCCAAAATTTCCATTGCTAAGCAAGGCAATTGTTAAGTGAGTTTTGCCCCCATTTTACAACCTGTCTTGCCACAGATGTTAAGTGAATCACTGCAGTTGTTAGTAACATGGTTGTTAAGTGAGTTTGGCTTCTCCATTGACTTTGCTTGTCAGAAGGTCGCAAAAAGGGGATCATGTGACTCCGGGGACGCTGCAACCATCATAAATACATGCCTGTTGCCAAGCATCTTAATTTTGATCACATGATCCTGGGTCGTGCTGCAATGGTTGTAAGTATGTCTGAAAATCACTTTTTTTCCGGTGCTGTTGTAACATTGAACGGTCATTAAATGAATGGTTGTTAAGTCGAGGACTTCCTGTAAATTGACCTGAGTCACTTAGGCAAGATGGGTACTGTAGAAAAGTAAATAAGTAAGTAAGTACAGTAAGATAGATAGATAGATAGATAGATAGATAGATAGATAGATAGATAGATGGATGGATAGATAAGATAAATATGGCAAATGTTTAAAACTTAACTTGAGAGGTTTCTGCATCCCTGCAGGTTATTTTCTGCCCATATTTCTGCCTTTTCTAGCTTACTGTTTTATTTGTGTTCCAAGACTCTTCCATGGCATGGGAAAAAGACCCTGGACCCACCTCTCCTATGATTCCAAGAATGAACACCGAGGACTTCAGGCAGGATGGAAACCTGAAGCCAGATGCTTTGAAAGTCCATTAACAATAATTATAGACAATGTGGGGTCCTTGGTGCTCTCTGAGCTTGCCTGTTTTCTTCCAGACGTTTCATTACCAAACTAGGTAACATCATCAGTGCTAGGTAGTAAGGAGTGCTGTTTGCTGTTCAGTTTATATTCTGGTGTCTTGCCTGTCTGTGTGGGTGGGGGCTGTCTTAGAGATTCTTTGGTTGGGCTGTTTACTAATAGTGGCTCTTTGGCAGTTTCTTGATTGGGGTATTGCTTAATAGATTGTTGGTCTGAAGTTAACCTTGTCTATATTGTCTAATTATAGACAATATTCCGTCTGTGGTAGCTCAGTGCAACATAAGGCAACTTCTCGGTAGTTGACTAAAAGGTGCAAACTCTTCAACCAACCCAAATCATTACCAGGTCTTGCATACATGTCCTTATTCCACATGGGACTCCTGAAGGCAGGCAGCCTGCCGGCCATATTTGGCAGCCCAATAAGGCTCCGGTTGGTTTGCTTACTCAGATGTATAAATGTCTACTTTCAGGTAGACTGGTGGGGTTTCTTTAGTTGCTAGAGTAGAATTGGTGCAAACCTCTCCGCTCACTGCTTACAATGGCCCTGAGACTCTCTCCTAAGCTCCAATCTTGAATTGCATCTCTAACCAAGCATTATTTTATATTCCGATGAATGACATATATTAAGAAAACCTGCCGCTGTCTTCCAAGATCCCTGTGGTCTTCCCAAGCTCAACCATGGCTCCTTCTGGATCAGACAAACTGTGGTCAGAAGGAAATCCATTTTCCATTTCCTCCATCCTCTGCACCTCCGTCTTTTATTGGCCTGATACATCCAGGCTCAAATGGTGGAAATCAGAGAAGGAAGACTCAAACAGCTACATTTCCCCAGATTGCTGCAAATGACCAGGAATGCCTCCATTCCACAAGTCCGGTCTGCTCAGCAGTGAAGAACCATCCTTCCCCTTTGCCTCACTGTCAAAGCATCTGATGGGCAAGAGGTCTGAATTTCTGAAACGAAGGCCGCCTCCAATTTCTTGCTAACCAGCACCTTCCTCTATGTTCACCAGGAAGTGGTGTAGAAAGTCTAGAAGAATCCGTAAAGACATGGGTCACACACTCTCTGCCCCCTCCCCCTCTTGTGGTTGCTGTTGTTAAGATTGCCACTGGTATACCTCTGTTCACGATTCAAAACGGAGACAAAAGCAATTGGACATTTTTGCCGTAATATCAGAGCGGCTCCTTTCTACAGTAACAGTAACAGAGTTGGAAGGGACCTTGGAGGTCATCCAGCCCAACCCCCTGGTCACGCAGGAGACCTGTATTAGGGATTTGAACCGCCGACCTTTCTGATCGACAAGCGAGGTGCTACAAAAGGGCCATATTGGAAGGAAAAGTGAGTGGGAGGCGATATGCCAAAAGATTGAGAAAATGCTGCTCTTCCTACCACTCAGGGAGACTCTGGATTCCTGCAAGTTAAGAGATCAATCCTGAAACGTCAATAAAAACACCCAATTCAGCGCCTCTGGCTTCTGTCCAGCAGAGGAGCCTTCTAGTTGATTTACTAATCCCTGGCACAAAATTGGCTGGTATGCAGTGCCCAGTCTCTGCTAGGAGATTTTGTCCATCCTCAATTCAAAAGCCAATCCCCACCCTCCTGTCCTTACTTTCCATCCCTCCAAAGCAGCAACAGCGGAAACCCACAGCTGGAAACATCTGGAAAAGGTACCTCCATTGCAAACGGCCCAGTTCTCTCCCTCCCAGTTCTCTCCCTCCCCGGAAAAACAGTGACTGACAGACAGTTGGATGGGGAGAGGCATCCAGGAATATGGGAGTGGGGTGGGGGTGGGGGAGGGCATGCAGTAGGATGCCCTTTGCACTAATCTGTCTCCCTCTCGCCCACTCCAGATGGCTCAGACTACAACTCCCATTCTGCCAAGAACATGGAAATGGTAATCCGATCCCTGGAACCCACCAGGTTGAGGAAGGCAGGCTGTCTGAATAAAACCTGTTGCTGGACTCACACCGTACAGCTTCTTCTGCCATAATATTCGGTGCAAAGGAGTTGGGATGGGGGCAGCAGAGGTGCCCAAAGACCCCAGATAGGCACCCAGGGCAACTGTAGGCCCTTCATCTATAAGCCCCAGCCCTTCCAGAGGATATGCGGTATCATCAAGCGATTTGCTATGGCAAAACGAGGCCTTTCGGGCAGCTCCCGACAGAAGGCGAGCGGGGTTTAGGTTTGGACAGCCTGCGCGGACTTCGCAACCATTCCTAGAGAAAATACACGCACGTGTGCAAAGCGGTTGCGCTGATGTCTCGGCGCTTTGTGGCATCCACAGGACGGGATGGGGTCCCGAGCACGCTTCCCACCCACCCCTCACCCCCAACTTTGCTGCCTCCGGATGCCTGAGGCTGCAGCTCCCACCGCCCTTCCCCACAACTCACGGGCGCAGGGCATGCAATCGTGTAACGTCCCGCGGGCCCCAGGTTGAAGACGGCTCTGCCATCCGCGCCCGCGTTAGGGAACGCCTGGAATTCGCGGGACGCGGCGTCGACGGGGGCTGGGGGTGGGGGGCTCGGGGAACATCTTCGAGCCCAGAAAGAAACACGCGTGTTAAAAGACATTCCGTCCGCCGCTTCCCCTCCCCCCCCCGCCACTTCGGCTTTGCTACCGGAATCTCAAAAATCGGAGTGACTCCGGAGGCCCTTCGGAGGGAAAAGTCTGCAAGCGCCCCTCCCCGGTTCCAGCCGTTGGCACCGAAGGCGCGCAGGGCGATCCAGCGCTTCTCTTCTCCGGAGGTGGAGTGGGGGGGGGGGAGAGGCGATCTGTCAAACCCGAGAGGGTCGCCGGGCTTCTTGCAGCTCCGCTTTGGGCGACCTGTAGCCCCCCCCCTCCAGGCATTTCACCCGAGGAGGGCAGGCAGACGCGATCCCCAAAGCATCCGCGGCCGATGCCCCGCGTGGGAGGAAGAGGAAGAGGAAGAGGGGGGGGTTGTTAAAAATGCTTACCTTTCTCCTGCAGAGGACTGTTCACCTCTTCCTTGCTAACCTGGGTGATTATGGGTCCGCTGTCCATTAGACCAGACGTGCAGAGAGCTCTCTTCCCGCCTCCGATTGTCTCTCCGCCGCCGCCGCTTCGGGGAATTTTCCGGGACTTCGCACAGATTTATATATATATATCTATATCTCGTATTATTTCCTCCCCACCCCCACCCCCGGTTGTGTTTTTTTTAAAAAACAACAACAACAACAACAACCGCGGCGGCAGCAGCAGCAGCAGCAGCGGAACGGAACGGAACGAAAGAGAAAAAAAAAAAAGGAAGGAAGGAAGAAACTAATAAATAAAAGGAAAAGAAAACGGAAGAGGGGAGATGAGAGGGTGGGGGGAGGGGCGGGGGGAGACGGGGAAAGGGAAAAGCAAAACAAAACAAAAAGGGGGAGGGGGAGAAAAAAAAAAGACGGCGGGCGAAGGAAACTTTGTTACAACATGGAGTTCCCTCTTCACGGGTTCTGATACAAACATGGAGCCCAGGCGCGGTTTCAAGCTACCCCTTAAAAGGGCAATGGCATCCCTCGGTCGCCCGGGACAGCCAGCCACCAGCGACGTTCTCGGGAACGAACCGACGTTGCCGCCGCCGCCGCCGCCGCTCTCCCAACAGGCAGGGTCCCCACACCCAGCCCACCACACATCTGGGATCGCTCTGGGCGCGAAACTCGGGTGGGGGGCGGAGAGGGGGAAGGCGGCGGGGTTTGGTTTTCATCTTAGATCTCCCCCCCCCCCAGCGGACTCTCCAAACTCTCGGCGATCTGCCTTTCCTTGCCAAAAAAAAAGCCCCTTCTGAGGGCCGCTCGGCAAGGCCGGAGTGGGAGGGTGTGGCTGGATCCGCTGAGGGAATCTTTCCGCTCCGCCTGATTTCGGGGTGCGGGTTTATTTTTTTTCCCTCCAGGATTTAGAATCGGTCGATCCACCGCTTGTCTTCAGGGATGGATTTTTTTTTCTTTTTTTTCTTTTTTGGAGCGACTGCCCGGTCTGCTAATGTAGAAATAGCGGCCAGGAAGGAAATGTGGAGCCGTCGAGCTCTCCTCATCAGCTTGTTCCCCTGACAGGCTTATTTTTGTCTTGATTTTTTGGGGGTGGTGGGTGGGGGTGGGACGGGAGGGGAGGGGAGGGGGGGACACGACGTGGGAGCTTCTTTGTGGAGCTCTTTGCTTCGTTTGTCTCGAAATGGTTTCCCTGAAACAAGCAGAGAGTGAGTCTGTCCGGACATTCTGGCAAATATTACCAGTTTGGCATTCTGTTGAGAAGGCCTGAGCATCCTTTTCAGAAGGAATTTCCAAGTGTTCGCTAGAAAAAAACAATTGCTACCAACCTGCCTTCCATTGAGGACCTGTATACTGCACTAGTCAAAAAGAGGGCTGTGAAAATATTTACAGACCCCTCACATCCTGGACATAAACTGTTTCAACTCCTACCCTCAAAACGATGCTATAGAGCACTGCACACCAGAACAACTAGACACAAGAACAATTTTTTCCCCAAACGCCATCACTCTGCTAAACAAATAATTCCCAACTATTTACTAAGTCTGCATTACTATTAATCTTCTCATTGTTCCTATCACCCATCTCCTCCCACTAATGACTGTATGACTGTAACTTTGTTGCTTGTATCCTTATGATTTATATTGATATCGGTTGTTTCCCGATCGCTTATTTGTACCTTATGACTATCATTAAGTGTTGTACCTTATGATTCTTGACGAACGTATCTTTTCTTTTATGTACACTGAGAGCATATGCACCAAGACAAATTCCTCGTGTGTCCAATCACACTTGGCCAATAAAAATTCTAGTCCCTGATGAGTCTTTGTTCCAGAATAGCAATCTTCCCTTAATGAGAGTAATTCACCAACCTTCCAGACTTTGTGATTTACTAAGCAAGAACTGTCAGAGCTCATGGTTGACCTTGCCGGGTGCCAGAAATGGCAAGAAGGCTTAAGGGAATAAAATAGATTTGCCTGCAGAGATTCACCTGGCTTTTTAGCACCATGCATTGGTTTGGCAGTTAAGAAAGGTGTCCGTCGAAGGGCCTTTCCGAGGATTGAATAGCTGTCTGTCTTTGACCCACCAGAAAGCCACTGGCATAACATCCTTTGTGCCACTGCCAAGTCGGCCTCTATTACATCTGTTTCCAACCACTGCCAGTCTCCTGGCTCTCCTCCAAGCTAAAAGGTGACAAAGCTGAATAGATTTTATACACCTGGAGGCTGGCCTTGAAAGGCTTCAGAACAAGGAAGATAGTGTTACTGAATGCCATCATCTGACAGCAACATCCTGGGTATAGAATAGGGGAAAAAAAGACTCTGTGGCATAATTGGGGGACATCGTGCAGGACAGCTTTACAGGGTGGATGATGTTTTCTCAGGTGGGGCTGAACTAGATAGAACCATAAGGCTGGAAGTGACTTCGGAGGTCTTCTAGTCCAACCCGCTGCTCAAGGCAGGAGCCTTATATTGAGGCTGGGGGAATGGAGTGGGGGGGGGAGATTATTCAAAATAGGGCAGGGCCAGGACCCAAAAGAGAAACAAGTTTAAAATTCCAACCTCCCCTCTTTTAAGAACGGATGACAGCATGCAGGACAACATTTCTGTGTTTGATACCAGAGCACACATTTCAGTAGTAAACACCGAGACACTACAGAATGGTGGGTGAGCTGCAAATCGCTCACTGAATTTGTTGGCTCACATATTTAGGGATAAACATAGGTGTACTTTTGAAATATAAACTGAAATTGTTTTAAGTTTACACATAAAGATACAGAGGTGTGCTTTTTAAGCAGCAAGAAGGGTTGCAATTCTCTGTGTAGTAGGGGCCTTTCCCAGCTCAAGTCAGCAGCTGACTGGTGTCTTGGATGATGCCTTCCTTGCAGAGGGCAGCTGCCATCTGCAGGCTGGGTCCCGAGGAGATACCCCTGATTCACCCTGGAACCTTCCTTGAGATCGCTGCCTTCCCCAAACCATCCAGAGCAGTGGTGTCCATCCTTGGCAATTTTAAGACTTGTGGACTTCAACTCCCAGAATTCTCCAGCCAACATTGCCAGCTAGGGAATTCTGGGAGTTGAAGTCCACAAGTCTTAAAGTCACCAAGGTTGAGCACCCCTGATCTGGAGCATTTATGCGCTGATGTGATTTGCTTGGAAGGAGGAAGCCTCCACTCATCAAGATGGCTGCATTGGTGCAGTCAAAATCCGGCATGCTTTTTATGATGCACATTAAAAACATGTTGCTTTAATTACCACCATCCTGACTTTTTTTTTTATCACATCCTATGGATGCCTCTTCCAGAGTACTTTTTATATATGGATCACTTAAAAACAAAACAAAACAAAACAAAACCAAGAGAACCAGCAAAGCCATCTCTCAGAGCAGCCAGAAAGCCACAGGAACATGGTAAGGAGACAAGGAGAAGGGACAACATGGGAGTTCTGACCATTAAACCAACTGGCCATTGTACAGACATGAGGAAAAAAACCTTGAAAGTCAATCTTTGCTGTACAGGATGTCCTCAATTTACAACCATTAATTAACGACCATTCAAAATTGAAAAAAGTGATTTACAGTCAGTTGTCCCACTGACAACTGTTGTAGTAACCCCATGATCACATGATCAAAATTCAGGCCCTTGGCAGCCCAGTGTGTATTAATGCAATCTCCCAGGGTCATGTGACCACTATTAGCAACCTTCCCAGACAGCTTCTAATGAACATTAACGGGTAAGCTTAACAATCACATGATTACTTAATTGCAGTGATTGGCTTGACCATGACAAAAAAGTTGTTAAATTGGGTGTCACTTAACTGCCTTGCCTGGCAATGGAAATTCTGGTCTCAATTGTGGTAAAAAGTCCAGGATTACCTATCCGTTCTCAGCAGCACAAGCCCCACCTAACCTGGAAACACGAAAGGGCATTAATTGATTAAATCCTAGATTGCTTGTGGTCAGGTCAGGAAATGGTTTCTGGTTTATCTAACATACAGACCCATAAAAGGACAATGCCTGGGATCATTGCTCACTGAAGCACAAATGACGCCACTCCAACTTATCCTCACAGGCTGTATGGCTTATTCTTAACATACCGTGTGGCCCTTGATGGTGTCTCCAGATGTGTGATGGCATAAGCATTTCTGGAGGTATTCTGTGTAGAATATTCTTCAAAGTTGTTAAACGAAGATCACACGGGCAATTCTGGAACATGGTCTTTGCTTTGGCAATGTGTGTTCCAGCTCTGATTCTTACCTGCAGACCTTTGGGACTTGGGAACGATCAAACTTTATTACTGCAAGTATGCATAAGATCACATTATTGATCATGAGAAGAAGGGGAAAAAAATGGCACAAGTTCTTATTATGCCAGTCTAAACTGAATACTGGGCTATTCCACAGCCATCATTAATTCTTGTAAGTTTAGGTAAATATTGTCAGTTTGTACTCTGCTCTAAATTGAAGTCAAGCAGCTGAGATTCTGTTGGACCATTTGCATAAACACACATGGACACATATGCACAGAGTCATCTACCACACAGAGGCAGGCTGGAAGTTGATCTTTGCTCCAGCCCAGGAAAGGATCAGAGGAGCTACTGAATTTGCCCACTGTAACGCTTGTCTCTCTTTTGTCGGATCTCGGTTCTCTTCACTGCCTCCAGAGTATCTGGAATGTGAGGAATTTCCTTAGAAATCTCCCATTTCCCCTCACAGATGTGAAGAAATTTCTCCAGTCTGTTCTTTTTGTATGCCTCGTTTTCATTCCCACTTGTCTTTCAAGGAATACCAGACTCTTGATTGGGAAAGGTGGCTTATATTGGCAGAGTTCACACATTATTTCACTCGTATTTTATTTATGTCCATTTTTACGTCTGCCTATCTCAACAATATGAGCCCTGTGTTGTACTGACTGAAAAAGGAATGTTATGCATTTGATGGATGTATTATGATGCAGGCATGTACAAAATGGACAAAGCTTCATCATGAAACAGTATCTGTCATCCTGTAGTTTCTGACATACAGAATGTGGACATACCCTGTCTGTTTTTCCCAAAGGTGCTTTTACAAGAGGCAACTGGACAATTGCCTCTTGAAAAAGCACTTTTGGGACAATCATGACCTGGATGACTGAGAATTTCCATGGACACCATGTCTGTTTTCTTAGTAGTTAAATTTCTGAATAATCCCTTTCTCTTTTGATTAATAGGAATGAAGTACATGGAGATAGTTTATCATGGCTGCAAAATAAAGACGTAATATGGAGACTGTAGAAAAAAAAAAACCCTGCCAGATTAAGCTCATCCTCTGTCCTCCCCATAGAGCCACAGAGGTAAATTTTGTTCAACCATAGCTTGTTGAGTGACCCATAAAAGACTGGGTTACACTCATCAGGTGAAACTCATCAGGTTTATAACCGCATCAAGTGGCTGAGTTGATCCAAGAGCCTATGTGTCACAAACAAGAAAAATATGTGATGATGGTCTATGGAGATTCTCCGTCATTCAGATCATGGTTGTTGTGGTCATGTGATGATGGCTTAGCATGATATGCAAGCCCAGCCTGGTCACTGGTCTAAGCACTTCGGCCAA